CTTATTTTATTATTTACTATTTACTTGTCTTTTTTAGTTAAAATAAGGCCATGTTCACACGTACACGTGTATTTTTATAAACTGAGTTTTTCCTTCTTCCGTTTAAAAAAAAAATCTCCGTCCACATGAAAACGCAAACGCGTGGTCCATGAGAAATAGTCCTGCCACCTCAGCTGGAAAAAATCCTAGAGGAAACACTGCATGCATTTAATAAAATTAGAAACGTGCATTTACAAAGGTATAAAGAAAATGCCCCTGAAATCACTTTGAGTCAAATATCAGCTCGTATCCGCACATCAGGGAGCCGCTATCAATATGCGGGGCATTGAAATCGCATTTGAATAAGCGCTTGCTGTTCACTTTCGGTTTCGTGATCACGCGCACTCTGTGTAAAGGGAGCACTTACAGTGTGTGCATAATTATGCACGTTGATATTCTGATCATTTTTTTCCAAGCACATTTTACCAATTCAAAGTGGAGCGAAACTACAAAAATAAAACCAAGTAACATCTTGTCCGTTACATACCCCTCCCTTTGGTGTCAAAATTTGACACATGGCAAATTTTTAAGTTTTGGGTATGGTAACTGTCAATCTGGGTAGGATCAGACAACATTGACACCTTGTAATTTACTGGACCTAGCTTTTTGACTACTTTAGCTGGCCCTCGCCATTTTGGGGAAATTTTAGCCATGAAACCATCATCTGCACGAGATAGAGGATGAGTACGCACCCAAACTATATCACCCTCCTGGAAGTCTTGGGTTCTTCTCTTGAGGTTGTAATACTTTTTCTGTTTAGTTTGTGCTTTCTCAACATTTTCTCTGACAGATTCGTACAGTAGTTTCTGGCGATCAATGATACTGTAGCTTGGTTGATCTGGCAGATTCTGTAAAGCTCTTTGTAGTGGTCCTTTCAATTGACGTCCAAGGGCTACTTCAGCGGGTGAAAAACCTGTGCTTTCATGCCATGCTGTATTCAAAGCAAATCTAAATTCGCAGATCCATTGATCCCAAGTACGGTGATTATTGTCAACATATGATGCAATCATGGTTTTTAGATTTCGATTGATGCGTTCAGTCAGGTTTGATTGTGGATGATAAGCAGTAGTGAGTTTTTGGGTTACCTGCCACTGCTTGCATAACTGATCCAGGAGGTTTGAGGTGAATTGAGTGCCTCTTTCAGAAACAATGAAGGCTGGTGTTCCCCACCTTGTAAATATCTCTTCGATGAGAATACGAACGATGGAGGTAGATTTGGCCGATCTCATGGGGAAGACCTCTACCCACTTCGAGAAATAGTCTACCACAACTAGAAGATATTCATTTTGATGGGTACTCCGTGGGAACGGTCCCATAATGTCCATGCCGAGCATGTATCCGGGCTCAACGATGGGCACGCTTTGGAGACCTCCTGCTGGCTTCAGGTTTGTGGGCTTATGCTGCTGACATTTTCCACACTGTTTGCAGTGTTGCCATACGTCAGTATGCATGAAAGGCCAATAAGCAAATTCTAAAAGTCTCAGAGTTTTAAATTTGCCTATAAGTTGAGAGTGACTCTTGAAGGACCAGCACCACATCCTCTTGTACCACTGTTTGAAGAATTGATCTTCCA